GAGGGTCTGGTTATCAATTCCCACTACTAGGATGGTTCGGTTATCAATTCCCACTGCTAGGAGGGTTTGGTTATCAATTCCCACTACGAGGAGGGATGGGTTATCAATCCCACTGCCAGAAGGGTTTGGTTATCAATTCCCACTACTAGGAGGGTTTGCTTATCAAATCCCACTACTAGGAGGGTTTGGTTGTCAATCCCCACTACTAGGAGGGATGGGTTATCAATCCCACTGCTAGGAGGGTTTGGTTATCAATTCCCACTACTAGGAGGGTTTGGTTATCACTCCTCACTAATAGGAGGGTTTGGTCATCAATTCTCACTGCTAGGAGGGTTTGGTTATCAATTCCCACTACTAGGAGGGTTTGATCATCAATTCCCACTGCTAGTTGGGTTTGGTTATCAATTCCCACTGCTAGGAGGGTTTGGTTATCAATTCCCATTGCTAGGAGGGTTTGGTTATCAATTCCCACTAGTAAGAGGGTTTGATCATCAATTCCCACTGCTAGGAGGGTTTGGTTATCAATTCCCACTGCTAGGAGGGTTTGGTTATCAATTCCCACTGCTAGGAGCGTTTGGTTATCAATTCCCACTGCTAGGAGGGTTTGGTTATCAATTCCCACTTCTAGGAGGGTTTGGTTATCTATTTCCACTGCTAGAAGGGTTTGGTTATCAATTCCCACTGCTAGGAGGGTTTGGTTATCAATTCCCACTGCTAGGAGGGTTTGGTTATCAATTCCCACTTCTAGGAGGGTTTGGTTGTCTATTTCCACTGCTAGAAGGGTTTGGTTATCAATTCCCACTGCTAGGGGGGTTTGGTTATCAATTCCCACTACTAGGAGGGTTTGATCATCAATTCCCACTGCTAGGAGGGTTTGGTTATCAATTCCCACTGCTAGGAGGGATTGGTTATCAATTCCCACTACTAGGAGGGTTTGATCATCAATTCCCACTGCTAGGAGGGTTTGGTTATCAATTCACATTGCTAGGACGGTTTGGTTATCAATTCCCACTGCTATGAGGGTTTGGTTATAAATTCCCACTGCTAGGAGGGTTTGGTTATCAATTCCCACTGCTAGGAGGGTTTGATCATCAATTCCCACTGCTAGGAGGGTTTGGTTATCAATTCCCACTACTAGGAGGGATGGGTTATCAATTTCCACTGCTAGGAGGGTTTGGTTATCAATTCCCACTGCTAGGAGGGTTTGGTTATCAATTCCCACTGCTAGGAGGGTTTGGTTATCAATTCCCACTTCTAGGAGGGTTTGGTTGTCTATTTCCACTGCTAGAA